CCCCCCACTTCCCTCCACGCTCCCTCCCATCATCCTCCCTTCCCCTTCCATCTGCCCTCCCTTCTGCCATCCTGTGCCTTCCCCTCTGCTGTCCCCTGCATTCCCTTGGCCTTCCCTCCTTCCCTCCCTCCTTCCTTTGTGTGTGAATGTGTGTGCCCCACCATCCGTGTGCTCATGCATTCTCGTACAAATGTGTGTATGTATCATGGGTCAGTTCGGGACAGCTGGGAATTGAACCCAGACCCACAAGAACGTGGGTGGCACCTCTGCCCTGTTCCAATTCCCGCCCCACCCCGCCGGGTTTTCCCCCTTTCCCCCCTCGTTTTGCCATCCCCGGACTGCGGCCATGATGACGTTCCAACGAATGCGTCGCCTAGGTTGCAGGGGGCCCCCGTCATGCCCTTACACACGCCCTCCTGACCAACCCGCCCCGCCGCGTTTTCCCCCTTTCCCCCCTCGTTTTGCCACCCCCGGACCAGGGCCCCCCACTTCCCTCCACGCTCCCTCCCATCATCCTCCCTTCCCCTTCCATCTGCCCTCCCTTCTGCCATCCTGTGCCTTCCCCTCTGCTGTCCCCTGCATTCCCTTGGCCTTCCCTCCTTCCCTCCCTCCTTCCTTTGTGTGTGAATGTGTGTGCCCCACCATCCGTGTGCTCATGCATTCTCGTACAAATGTGTGTATGTATCATGGGTCAGTTCGGGACAGCTGGGAATTGAACCCAGACCCACAAGAACGTGGGTGGCACCTCTGCCCTGTTCCAATTCCCGCCCCACCCCGCGCCTGCACTGCCCTGAACCGCCCTGCCCAGCGCCGCCCTCCCCTGGGCAAGTAGGGTGCAGGGCAGGGTGGCGTTGGGCAGGGCGGGTGCACATGGGGGCGAAGCTGGGCTAGGAGGGCGCATGGGAGGGCAGCGTTGGGCTAGGCGGGCGCAGGGAAGGGGGGTGTTGGGCGAGGGGGGCGAAGGTAAGGGCGGCATTGGGCAGGGGGGGCGCAGACAGAT